CTGCATTTCTTATGTAGATAGACTTAGAGAACTACTGGACTGGATTAAAAGAGGGAATAAAAGGAGATTGCATAGTTACAAATAGCCTGACAGCAATGTTTAAGTTACCTTACCTGTCAAATCCTTAGGTGAGCAGTATTGAACTTTGGCCATCTTAAAACATATTAATGACATTTTTTCTCACATGCTTCTGTATCATCTTCATATTTAAAAAGCATGTTTTCTCTGCTTTTACTCAAGTTATTGTTTAAAACTATGTAGGACAGGGTCAGAGAGCCCCTTCSAAGATGCCAATGGCAGCCTGTCCTTATGTGACTTTTAACTAACTGGCTAAGGGTCCAGTCCCCTTTTCTCCAGCTGTATGTGAGGATACACAGAACAATTATTTAGCCTTGTTGAAATTGTGTCTATTGCAGTTTACTAATTTACTTAAATAGAAAACTTGTCCAGAAATTTGTCCATTTAGGCCCAAATCGATTGTGTGTGTGTGTTCTTGAGGATCAAACCCAGGGGTACTTTACCACTGAGCCACACCCCCAGCCCTTTTTGTTTTTTATTTTGAGATAGGGTCTCACTAAATTGCCCTTGCAATCCCTACTGTCTCAGCCTCTAGAATTGCTGGGATTGCAGGCATGCGCCACCATGTCCAGCTCCAAATTATTCTTAATGACCCTCATGATAACCTCATGATAATTACCATAGTTCTTTTTTTAATACTTGTGCTCCTTTTAGTATTTTATCATAGAAAATGTTCATTATGTATTTTTTTTTCTTTAAAATATTAATGGGAAAAAAAAGAAAAAGGGAAAACCAAAACACCCAGCAGTAACATTGACATAATACATCTGAAAGTTGGGACCCTAAAAYTGGGGAACCCAACTTGGAGATTTTGCCTACGAATGTTCACCTGACCAATTTCTCCTTAACACAGTGAGGCACAGAGGAGAGAAGTTGCAACGATGCAATCCTACTTGTGTGTATTTTATTTATAGATTAAGGTCCCTCTCAATTAGTATTTAGATTTTTGATATTTTCTTTTAATTTTTACATGTGTATGTGAGAATAGAATCACCTTTTTTTTTTTTTTTTTTTTTTAGCTTTTATAAGTAATAGTTCTAGTGGACCTACATGCATACCTTTTTTTCCTTTTATCAATTTGAGTGTTATATAAATAATAGTGAAGATGAAGACAGTGGTCAGAGTAGGAAAGAAAACCTTTCAGAGGGAGGGGGAACAGAGAATGGAGGTGTGTTTGGAACCCTAGTCACATTTCCTTAATAAATCTGTCCAGAGCGTGGGTAGATATTCCACTTTTCCTATATTTGTTTGCATTTGAAAGAAATGTAAACTGCAGAGAATGGACAATAATGGAAGGACAGGCTAAAGAATTAGAGGAGCAGAAAGGAAGGATTAGGGCAATGGGGGGGGCAGGGAGGAAGCTGTGTTCTGGGTTGGCCTCACTGTATCCCGTTTTTGACCTTGCCATCTTTGGCCATTGTGGGCAGGCGGATGGGGACAGACAAGGATTTCTATTAATCTGGGTGTACCGCCTTTGAGCTGCAAACACCGTGTCTCAGATCATTCCTTGGYTTGTGTCTTATTTTTCATTTTAGCTTTTATGAAGGGTACTATGTAAACTATAAAGTGCTATGAACTCTCGGTTATTAGGGGGCCCAGGACTTCTTAGTCCAGCAGCTGATCCAGACCTTCCTTCCCCATGGGCTTAGGTTCCTTCCTTCGTCATTGTGTTTTCAGCTCCTCTGTTCACAGAGTGACTTGTTCCTTCCCAGGTCCTCACCTTGGGTTCTCCAGACTTCCCAGGGGCTTGGGTCTTCAGTCTGCTCACATGCCCACAAGACTGGGCCCAGGGGCCCACCTGTTCTCTGCCAGCCTTGKTGATTGGATAGCTTTGGAGATGGTATTTCTCTGGGACTTCTGATATCTAATAGGGTGTATTGTAGGGTTTAGTTTTGAATCAAGTAGAGAATGGTTTTGTTCTTTAATTAGGAAATAAATTGGGAGTAACTGGATTGAGTTATAGACTTAGTATCCCGTATCCAGAATACTTAGGACCCAGATGTGTGTTGGATTTATTTTTTTCAGGTTTTGAAATATTTACCTGGATAACTGGTTGAGAATCTCTAAGCCCCAAAATCTGAAATCTGAGAATTTTTGAGTGTTAAAACTCCCTTGAGCTTTGGCAGTTTAACCTGAGTGGGAATTTGTGCATTGGAGCTCAGAATGGTTTAGATTTTGGAGCATTTTAAATTCTATATTTTTATATTATATTAACTACTGTAGCAATTTTACCTTCAAATCACATTTCTGTGTGTATCATTTACACTGAATCCAGGTAAAACGACAATGACTCTAGCATTTTGCTAGAGTAGGGACTGGCAAATTACAGCCCGATGGCCAAATCTGAGCTCCACCTGATTTTGTAAGTGTGGTGGTTTTATGGAAACACAGCTGTGCCTGTTCCTTTATGCATTATGTACATCTGCTTTCATGCTTCCACAGCAGAGCTGAGTCACTGTGACACAGACAGTATGGCTTGCAAAGCTTAAACTATTTACTGCTTCACATAAAAAGCTGGCTGGCTGGTCCTGTCCCTAGTAGAGAGTACTACAGGTGGTCCTGGCAGAATTGATTCTACCCGGAATCRAGTGTGTGAATTTCCTATGGCAATAATTTTCTCAGAAAACCCTTACACTTTTGCTCTATGTGCCTTGGCCTTCCCTGTGAGAAATGCAGTCACAGATGACATACATAATGAAAGGTATCTGATGTTGAAATTTCCAGCTAACTCATTAGAATGCATAGTGATTTTTTTTTTTTGGACTAATGTGCCTTTTGAGTTTTCTCCTTTTTTTTTTTCCCCCCTCTTTTCCTCTTATCTCCCACCCACCACCCCAACAGGTTTGAATTCCTCAGCAACATCTATAGCAAATAATAGCCGTCGTGAAGGGGAGCTCCGCCTTGGAGATAGGGTGTTGGTGGTTGGCCAGAGAGTTGGTACCATTAAGTTCTTTGGGACAACAAACTTTGCTCCAGGTAACTCATCTCAATATTCTTTGCTCAATTTTAATTCTTTAGAGTATAAAAGGTTTAAAATTTTAGAGGTAAATAAAATTGAATCATAGAGAATTCTTGATTAACAGCTTTTGTGGATAATAGCAATAGTATGTATGTACATGCACACACGCGCACACACACACACATACACACACGTAAAACAGTGATCCACACTCAGATTGCCTGGATTGACTTGCATCCATAAATTTCTCTTATTGATTGTGTTTTCATTTGTCTAATGTTAAAATTAGTTGTCATTTCCCAAGTTTATTCTTACTGATTGCTGAGTGTGCTAAATGACAGGGGAAACCTTTTCAGGATTAGGGTTTTTTCCAAGGATAATCCATAAAGTGAGTATGTAATGAATTAAGTGTACGGTTTTTTTAAACAGGGTGACTTGGAGAGAAAAGCAGAGGAAAATGAAAGAGCTTCTGTGTACCCTTTTGTGTACCTTAAAAATGCATATTTGTGTTTTTGTATATTCATCCCAACCTACCTATGCTTTATATTGATTTTTCAAAAGTAAGGGTTAGTTTCTTGCACATTTTCGAATATTATAAATTTTACACTGAAGTTTCAAATGAAATTGTACATTTTAAATAGCAATATGCTATTTTAACACATGGTGGCATTGCTGCATTTTAGGAAAAGGTTACCTAGAACATTGATTAAAAAAAAAGTTTGTGGTGTAGCATTCTTTCAAGAACCACAAAGGATCTGAGATTTTACCCTGTTTGCAAACTATCAAGTTAGCCTGCCACAGTATTAGATGTTAATGGAAGATGGGAGAATTCAAGGTCAAGAGACAAAGGACTTTGGTACTCACAAGAATAGAAATAGCCATAAAATTAGCATTTTCTTGCATTGTTCCCCAAGCTTGAGCTTCAGTTTCAACAGGGTGGGACTGAGGGATAGGTGACACCTGGTCACCAGTGGTTTATGAGCTTAAGAAGTCTGAACCTTTACGTGGGCCGTGTTTTTCCACARTGTGCACCTTTTGCTCTGGGGGGGACTCCCATCTCTATCCTCCAAGATGTCCTCTACACACACACACAGCCATGGAAAGATAGTCTGGAACACAGTCAGTCAGTGCCACTGTCTGTTGGACACTCAGAAACATGAGGCAGCCCCCAATATCTTCTTGTTTCAGCAATACCACTTTTAACTGCAAGTCAGTAGGTTGACTTGAGACAGCTTGTATGTTTTATATTTCATGGCTCTTTGGGGGACTCCAGGTAGCAGCAATTAAGATTAGTTAGGATGTACTTAACAGTTCTCAAGTAAAAACTTAGAGAACTCACAGGTAGGTTAATTTTCACAATCTCTCTCTATCTCTGCACTTCCCTCTTTCTGACCTTATTAAACAAGGCTAGGATGGTTTGATTCTTTGGATACAATTCATTATTTTAGGTTTACTTTTAACTTTTAAATTTTTAATGTAAAGCATTTAGAAACTTGGGTAGTAACAAGCAAAAGCAATAGAATTTGGAAGGTTTTGTGTTAAAGTCATTCTGTCCTTTGAGGAAGTGGTAGCATACACTTCTTGTGTCATCAAAATTTAGATCAGTCATTTCTATAGTACAATGATAATGTTAGACTTTTTATAGACTCTAAGATCTAGACCTGAAAGAGGGTATGTTTGACCTCTTCAGCATTTTTTTTCATTGCCACATTGGAAAGAAAATTAACATTTAAACAGGAAGATATCCATGCCCTACCACTACCAGACAGTGTGGAATCACCGTTGCTAACACTTTTCATATGTATGTTACACATTTTTTGAAAGCTGTATRGTAAACGTGTAGCAGTAATATGGTAAATTAAAATGGTAAAATGCAAAAATTATATAAGAAAGTATCAAAGGCAGAAGGAAGTAGAACTTGAAAAGTCCTAATTGTGGTACTCAGAGAAGTAACAGTGCTAACGAGAGTGTCTTAGCGGACCTTCTTAAACAAGGCTAGGATGGTTTGATTCTTTGGATACAATTCATTATTTTAGGTTTACTTTTAACTTTTAAATTTCTAATGGTGACTCTGGTTCCCTCCTTCCCTCCCTCCCTCTCTTTTTTTGCATGTGATTTTGTTTGCATGGCTGCGTCTGCACAGTGGGTGTGTAGATTCTGCTGTTTCACGACACTGTAGGGCTCTGCAGACAGACACTGGTCGTGCTTCAGCCTTTCCAACCCCAGTACCTGGACATGGGCCCCGATTTCATCTTTTTGAGCATAAGAGGAAGAGAATAAAGAAGTTTTTGGATGGCTTATTAGCAGCTCTATAATTGACTCAAAGAGCTGATATTCTGAGAGAAACAATATATTTGTGTTTTGTAATCTACAGTATCTTTCTTGATGTGTATGTCCTCATTTTTATTTATTATGGATTGTAGGAGACCAAATGCAATTACCATTGTACTCTCCTTTTAAATCACGAATGAGTGAACTCCTAGGCATTTTTAAGCTGGTCTAAGGTATCCTCAACTTGAAAATACTTGCTCTCAGAGGGTCTCCATTTACCTTAGGCTTGCAACCTTGCTACTTCAGTTTTAGGCTTTCTAAATTCCTATCACTTTCCTCAGAGTGGGCCTTTAAATACTAAAAATCGTTTAGAAAATTCTTTCTAAAAGGAAAAAAAAAAGATTTTTCTTTCCATCTAGACAGAGGGAAAGAGGGAGGGAGGGAGGGAGAGAGAGGGAGGGAAGAAGGGAGGGAGAGGGAGAGAGGGAAGAAGGGGGGAAAGAGGGAAGGAGGGAGGGAGGGAAGGAGGGAACCAGAGTCACCATGATGTCTGGTGGTATTTTCCATATTATCTTTGTCCTTCTTAAATTATTTAAGAACCACTGGTGGTGTTCTAATATTGGGAGTGTGAAATGAAAAGATTGCACATTTACTGTATGATTTGCATCTTGATGTTATATTATACTTCTCTTGTGAAACACAGCGTATTAGAGTCAAGGACAGTTTCTTTTTCGTTATAGTTTTAAGATACATTTTGGCTGTAGTCTACTTGCATAATAGCTAATCTTCTCCAAATTTGTGTTTGTGCATTTTATTTTCCTCCCTTAATGTACTGCTCAGCAATTACACTGGTAAAATGTTTTCCCCACTTTTCAAATTTTCAAGTTTTATATTTTATAATTTTATCATTTGAAAGCTTAATGATGGTGATGATATTCCATCATTTTGGTCATTTGTGAAAATGTTAAACCATCCAGATTTTGGGTTAGTATAATAGCATAATGATTTTGAGCAAAGTGTAGACGCTTTTTAAATGCAATATTCATGTTCTAGGGTATTGGTACGGTATAGAGCTTGAAAAACCCCATGGCAAGAATGATGGTTCAGTTGGAGGTGTGCAGTATTTTAGTTGTTCTCCAAGATATGGAATATTTGCTCCCCCATCCAGGGTACAAAGGTGAGAAAAAGGGGATTTGTGTATGTTTACATAAATGTTTTGAAATTTGAAGTTGCACACAGAGACCCTAATTTTATCTGGAGACACACACCAAGTGTAACTTGTGCCTTCTTTTAAGGGTTAACCAGCCACCTTCTTCAGAGAGAAGGCTCATGGAAAGCTAAATTTGCCTTGCTAAGGATTTGCAATTTTAAAAACCTTCTTTCTTCCTCATTTGCAAACCCTATGAGTATGTGTAGGCTATTAGAAGTGGCGTTTGAAGCTAAGAACAGTGAGAGCAGCAAGCTTAATCTGTCATGCAAACAAAAGTAAAAATGCTCCCTGATTGCTTCAGTCACATCCTAACTACATTAAATTTCCTGCCAGCAGGCACCCATTCATTCTCCTGCAAACCTAATGGAACCAAAATGGCTTTTCCTCTGATTTCTTTAGTTTTCAAAAATAGATAGGCAGTAGATCTTTAGGGGAAGTGAAGTTTCAAGGTCTTATATATAATAAACCTCCTCGGTGTTTCTTYGTAAGACAGTAACACTTCTGTGCACCTTACTCTGGTTTTAAAAAACAACTTGAGCAGAAACAAATCCCTGTGAAATTCCAGGTGGAAAGTGAAGTGCCTTATGTGCTGGAAGAGCTGGCTTGGTGTGCTTTTCAGTGGCTGGGAAATGGGATGCGAATCTTTCAATAAGGGAGAACATACATGGTCTGAATCATATTCCTAAGTCTAGAACCCTGATCACACTCCGGCTCCCTTACGAGCATGTGACCGCTTCCAGGCAAATTCATTTTAGTTTCTCTTATCAATTTTCGTCCTCAGTTTTTTTGTGTGTTGAATAACTGCATATACTTTTTGTATTAATTTCCTTCTTTTTACAATGCACTTGGTATTGTCATTTTCTTCTTTTTGATAAACATTCAGCACACAGTGCTTTTGTAGTTCCTAAAGTATCCTCTGTTAAATGTTACTTCCTTTGGTCCTAATAGGCATTTGTTTGGTCAGGTAAGCCAGAAATTAACCATATCTGTTACAAACATTTAYTGAGCATTTAATAAGCAGAGGGCTCTATAGTGTGTGGCCTGGCTGCTTATGTCACTGTGACTCCTCTGTGTCCAAGCCCAGGCAGTGTAAGCCATTGTGATTATTCCCGTTTTGGCAGGTGAAGAAACAAATTACAAGAGATAAAGTAACTTAGCTAAAGTCATGTGGCTAGTTAGGGGTGGAGCTGGACCCAGCCCAGGTTTGTTATTTTATTTTTTTTAAGTCCATACTTTTAGGTGCTTTGCTGGTGCTGCTCCTCCTCCCCCACCTCCTCCTCCTTTTTTTGTAGTCATTTTTTAAATGAAGAAAAGGAAATGCTAGTAATGAATCATGTGCACAACTTCTGGGCCCTGTTTTCAGCACTGTTTATGTATTTAGTCAACTACAGAAGAGGAAAAATTTATTTGAGGGCTCAAGGTTCCAGAGGTCATAGTCCATCGAAGGCTGGATCCATTTCTTGGGGCTCAAGATAAGGCTGAACATTACGGCAGTGAGTGTGGCAGAGGGAAGCAGCTAACATCATGGTGATCAAGAAGCAGAGAGAGAGAGAGAGAGAGAGAGAGAGAGAGAGAGAGAGAGAGACTTCACTCTGAAGATACAAAATATATACATCAAAACCATCTCCTCCAGCCACACCCTACCATTTTCAGTTACCACTCACCTAATCCCTATCAGGGGATTACATCACTGATTGGGTTAAGATCTCACAAYCCATTCATTTCTCCCCTGAACCATCTTGAATTGTCTCACACATGAGCTTTTGGGGGGACACCTCACATCCAAACCATAACAGATGATTTACTTCACACCCAGTGAGTCGGGCACCGTACTGCTCCCTGATTCACAGACGAGGAAGGCAGGACCCAGAGAGATTAAGTAAGCTATGCTCCCAGAGGGGATTTGAACCCTGACCATCTAGAATCAGGATGTGTGCTTCTTAACATAGCTCTGGTGGATAAAGGAGCTCTGGTGACTTCCTTTAAGAAGTTGCAAGGGGTGACCTTGGGAGTGAGGTCCACTGAGCCACTGGTCAGGCTCCTGCGCTCTGCTACTTGGGAAAATCGTCATTGGCACRTTGCTACAGGCTTATACAGATTTTGTTTCCTAGTCATGAGGACTGGGATTCGTTTCATGTTCCATTACCCAGAGTGTGTAGTTTGGTGTTTTTTAGGCACAGTAAGTATTGATCAGCTCTGATTCCCAGTTCAATGCTTTTCTGCAGGAACAGCCCTTTTTTCCTCCTCTGCACTGTGAAGCCACATTCTTTCTCATGGTTTCATTTTTCCTCTGGCTTTGTTTTTGACTTTGTGTTTTGCTTGTCTTCTKTTTGGCCTTCTTTAAGGTGGTGCATTTGAAAGCAGCTCCCTCTTAACAGAAACAGGGCTGTCTCTAAATGAACTGCTGTCTCAATMCAGCTGTCTTCCTGTCATCTTCTGATTGTCTCATTCATCATCATCAAATACTATTAAGTGTCTTTTAGCACTTTGTGCTGTGCTAGGCATTCTATAAGCAAATAAAACAGACATGGTCTCTGATTTTGAAGAGTTTCTAATCCAAATCAGTTTTGATCTCTTTAAAGACCCCATTGATCCCCAAGATGGAAGGATTTTTAAATTAGGGACTGCTTGAGGACAGTCCTAATAAGGTAGTGACCTATCACATCCTCACCTTGCATCTTTCTCCTTGGAATTATAGCTGCCTTTTATTTTTTCCCTTTCCATTTAAAAAATGTGCCTCCTGTCCCAGAATTGTTGCACATATTATTTCTTCTGCTGGGTTGGCTTTTTAGACCCATTCACCATTACCCAACTTCCATTCAGCTTATACACACACACACACACACACACACACACACACACACACACACATATCTATATATCTATATATCATATATCTATATACATTTATATATTTGGTCAATATATAAATCAATCAGTGTTTCTTTTTTTTTTTAAAGAGTGAGAGAGAGTGAGAAAGAGAGAGAATTTTTAATATTTATTTTTTAGTATTTGGCAGACACAACATCTTTGTCTGTATGTGGTGCAGAGGATCGAACCCGGGCTGCACGCATGCCAGGCGAGCGCGCTACCACTTGAGCCACATCCCCRGCCCCRATCAGTGTTTCTTTTGATAAATACTCTGAGAAAACTCACTAAATCCTCCCGGACACGTGTGCACCCTGACCAGAAGATCTTCATTAGCATAGTATTCATTTTCTTAGTTCTTATCAGTAGGCACTTAACTTAATGAGCTGATCACCTTTAGGATTTGGTTACTCTCTACTGTCCATCACCACTTCATCCAAATCTGTCTTGTTCACCATTCATCAAGTCACATTCTTTGTGTCCCTCAGTYCCTCATTGGCTGCAGTGTGTTGTATGCCATGTGAAAATGATGCAGGTGGCTTGTGTGTGGAGCTGCAGATGCTGCAGGAGTTGCAGGATTCCTTGATGGAAGTGAATCGTGTTGCAAGAAGGGATTGACACAGGAGGCCTTGCAGATTTAGGTCTGTAAGCAGTTGAAAGAAGATGAGGCTGTCAAGGTTGGCTTTTCAAAAATAAGGAATAATTTGAATATCAAAAAATGAAGAGGAAAGCCATGGGGAAGGTGACCTTTATGATTGTGCTTAAAGTCAAATATAAAGGGCCTTGAATTATGTTAGCCATACAGCTTTATCAGAAAAATTATACACACACACAAACTTAGCCAATATCTTTTTTTTCCAACTTAAGAATCCATGATATTTTTATAATTTTAATCTACTATTTGTTAAATTTAATAAAATAAAAATATTTTCATATTTTTTTAAGTTCCTTTGAAAATAAAGTTCCAAAGAAACAAAATCAGGTTTCTATTTTAAGCTAATTTACTTTAAATTGACTTTTCATACTTTTGATTCTTAGATAGTGATTCTGATTGTTCCATTTGAGTATTGCCTATCTCCCACACTAGGCTGAAGCTCATTCCTGGCTTATATGGGTGCTCAATAAATGTTTGTTGAATGAAAGAAGTAACAAATACTAATTGGTGTGAAAACCTTGGTTGAAAACCTGAACACCAACTACTTTTAATGAGGTATGCTTTTGTCTGTTCTGTTTATAGACTAACAGATTCCCTGGATACTCTTTCAGAAATTTCTTCAAATAAACAGAATCATTCTTATCCTGGTAAGATAACATAGTTTTATATTGCTAATAAATATTTGTAGCCACGGGTAATGGTACAGAACTGTAATCCCAGATACTTGGGATGCTGGGCCAGGAGGATCACAAGTTCGAGGTCAACCTTGGTAATTTAGTAAGTCTCTATCAAAAAAAAAAAAAAAAAAGGTAAAATAAGGTTTAGGGATGTAGCTCAGGGTAGAGCTGCGTGCATAGCATGTGTCTGTTGATTTGATCCCCAGTATTGGGAAAAAAAAAAAAAAGAAGTTCTTTTGTTTTAGTTCATTGTATTGTCAAGTTTGTATGTAAACAAAGTAGTACATGAATGCATTTGTATAGTTCTTCTAATCATGGAGCAAATATCTGTTACCCACCCCTCAGCTGAGGATTACCTATGTTGTAGAAACTCCTGCTTCTCATCTGCCTCCCTCATCATATATCCCATCCTAAGGTTGTGAGTCTTGAATACTATGTTAATTATTTTCTGTGTATATCATATATATATATATATGTGTGTGTGTGTGTGTGTGTGTGTGTATAAATAATGTTTAGTTTTGATTAGTGCTTGCTGTTTTGTTATGTAGCATCCCATTAAAATGCAGGATGGTTATTTCAGGTTATGTCCTATTTTTTGTTAGTACATCGTGTGTTGTGGTGCATGGGCGACTGTGTCTCTAGGTTGCCAGGTGAGGATGGCCGTGTCCTCAACATTCCCTAGGGAGCGCCAGGTGCTTGCAGCATACACTCTGTCCCTCTGTACCTCCTGACACTGATCTTGTTTGGCCTAGGAATCTTTGCCAGTCTGATGGTTTTCAGTGGTATCTCACTGTGGCTTTAATCCATACTTTCCAGATTACAGAAGAGGTGGAGCCAGGCTTCAGTTTATGGGCCATATCCATTTGCTCTTTTACCAAGTACCTGTTTAAGTCTCTTGCCCATTTTTTTTTGGCATGTATTGATTTTTATCTTATTAATTTGTAGATCTCTCTTTGTGTATTTTAGGTGCTAATATTTTTTTCAGTTTTTGCCTAGTTGATTGTTTGTCCCTTCACTAATTTTTTTTAATCTTTGCATAAATAAAAGTTCTCGATTTTTATGTAGTCAAAGAGCAAACCCTTTTATGGCCTGCAATTTTTTTTTTGTCTTAAGAAGTTATTTCCTAAGACAGATATCATAAAGGTATTTTTCTACATTGTGCTTTAAAAGTTTTTATATATTCATTTTTCACATTTGTTGTCAGTTCACTTGGAATTGACTTTGTGGGTGGTACGGATCAAATGTAGTTTTCTTTTCCATATGGGTGACCATCTGTGAGAGAGTTATTTGTATTAACACCAGCCCRCAAGTCCTTGTTGAGGTCAACTTATGACATATGGATGGATTTTCACCATTCTGATAGCCCTGTGTTTTAATTGGGGGTTCCCTGAGGAAGTGCGGTGTTGTGTTGGTGTGCTGGAGCTGCCTTGGCTGGCAGGGGCTTCTTCCTCTGCTGTCATATGGTCTCTGTGTCCTGATCGCCTCCTCGTGTAAAGATACCTATCACATTGAACTAGGGCCCACCCCAGGACCTCGTCTTACCTTAATTACCTATTTAAAGCCTATGTCTGTGTACAGTCCCATTCTGAGGTATTGGAGGTTAGGAGTTATGCTGATCAATTTTAGGGGGACCCAATTCAGCCCCTGACAGAGGGTTGAGTATTTTTTCACATGTTCACCCCTCAGTGAACCTTGTTTGGTGAGGTGTCTGTTCATTTATTTGCTCAGATAGATTGTTTTTTTTTCTTGGTATTTTCTTGTTGTTGAGTTCTTTGTGTATTTTGAATACTAGACCAATAAGATAAGTGTTTTGAAAATATTTTCTCTCAATCCATGGCTTGTACTTTTATTCTCTTTTTTTTTTTTTTGGTGTGTGTGTGAGGTACCAGGGATTGAACTCAGGGGCATTTGACCACTGAGCCACATCCCCAGCACTATTTTATATTTTATTTAGAGACAAGGTTTCACAGAGTTGCTTAGCACCTTGCTTTTGCTGAGGCTGGCTTTGAACTCGAGATCCTCCTGTTTTAGCCTTCAGAACTGCTGGGTTACAGGCATGTGCCACTGCGCCTGGCTTCCTTTTACTCTCTTAATGGTGTCTTTCACAGAGCAGAAGTCTTAAATTTTAATGAAAACCAAGTTAATCGGTTTTGGGGGGATTCTGTTAGAGATCCCTGTGTGGTGCTTTATTATGATATTTCTAGGTGGAGGTGTTTTKTTGTTGTTGTTTTTGGTTTAACCTGTTTGGTATCATGGGTCTTCCTGGATCTTGGAATTAGTACCTTGATCTTTGTTCAAGTCAATAAAATTTTTACTCATTATACTTCAAGAGTATTTTCTCCTCCATTTTCTTTATTATTTCCTCCTGAAATTCTGATTGGTTGTTACTTTGGACATACTTTTTTCCCATGCCTCTTATATTTTTTCATAACTTGYCCTCCGATCACATTTCTTCCTGTTTTCTGATTCTCTCTTTAGCAGTGTTTATTCTCTTGCTTAATCTAGACACAAAGTTATTAATTGTAGAAATTTATTTTTTTWAAATCTGGTTGTTATTTACTATCACTTATTTCTCCATATTTTCAAGTTTGTTGTCTTTAAACATTTAAAATTAAATTTTTATTTTATTCTATGTTAAGTAATCAATATCTGAAGTTTTTGTGAATCTAATTCAACATCTGTTTCTGTTGAGCCTGATTTAGGGTGCCTTCTTTTCTTGTGAGTTTTGCAATTTATTATTGTGAGGTGCTTCATTTACTTGGAGTTTTAAGGATGAGAATTCTTTGAGGCCTGGGTTGATACATTCTGAGATTATATTTACTTTTGCCAGTGTCCTGGAAGCATGCTCACCTGGGACTTTAACTTATGTTCTGTGAAGCACTTTTTATTTTTCACACAGATAGCATGAATTTGACTCATGGTCACAAACTGTAGAAGTTTTTGCCTTTTACTGAGTGTGAGGTTGGACACAAATCCCTTTCCTTTGTCTTCATTGGAATGTGCTTCCTTCTGTTTCTTACTTAAACTTATGCTGAGTGAGCTCCTTTAACTAGAGTCCCTTTTAGTGAGAATCCCCCCCCCCCGCCCCCCTCCCGCTTGGGTAGGCCCTTGCTGCTTCCTTCCCACTCCCTGGTGCATCCAGAAAGGCAAGAGCCCTGGTTCCTAGAATTGAGTGAAAACTCTGTGGTGTGCTGTCTGGATGCCTGGTGATCACTCATGCTTTCTTTCTTTTAAAAAATTTTCTTTGAAACTGTGCCTTTTGTGTAAGTTCATCAGTTTTAATATAGTTGTTTTAAATTAAGGTTGTTCTGGGGCTGAGGATGGGGCTCAGTGGCAGAGTGCTTGCCTAGCATGCATGAGGCCCTGAGAATCCTTTGTAAGAATTTATCTTTTGTGAAGTYTTTTTTTTTTTTTTTTAAACTCTCTCTTATGTATACAGCAACAATCAAGGAGTTCAGCTCTGGAGTTTATTACTTACTGTTTTATAAATGGAGTATTTTTAATAATGGTGTTTTAAAAATCATCATTTTTTCATGATTATCAAGATTGCAATATTCAGTCATAAAGGAATCAACTGTATCAATATATAATTCAGTTTGTTTGAGAAATATTATGGTAAAAACTTCCAAAAGTACTGTCATGATCTTAACTTATCCCGTATGAGTGTAGTTTGCTCAGGAAGGTAAAGGTAAAGTAAAGGTAAGAATCTGTCAAGAAATCTGAATGGCCAATATGCTCTGTGTTTACACTTTTTTTTTTCCCCCAAAGAAACATTTCATATCATAGAACATCTGGAGAAGAGAAATGACCAGAGATAACTTTTTAAATAAGGAGTTGAAAATGTGTGATTTATTTTTCTTCTTCTGAAATTAATTTCATATTTAGGTTTTAGGAGAAGTTTCAGCACAACTTCTGCTTCTTCCCAAAAAGAGATTAACAGAAGAAATGCTTTTGCCAAGTGAGTATTAAGAAGATTTAGAAAAACACCTTTCAAGATGAGCATGACGGGATTCTATGAAGGAAGAAAAGTGGAATTTCTGTGTTGTACGTTGCTTGGTAGAATTTTGACACATAAGAGAGAAGGTGTGATCAGTGTATTGAATTCTTCCTCTCTCCTTTGCAAGCTCAATTAAAAATGTCACCAGTGACTAAATATAGCAGTCTTGCATATATTTTCTCAGAGGTTAGTACTGCTAATAAAAGTCAGAGGAATTTACATTTTGTGTTTTCCTTGAGTAGGGTGGATTTATTTTAAACACTGCTTATTAAAGTAATCTGAGATTTGACTTAATATGATCAATGCATGAGAGAAATGTAAGGCCTGTTTACATAAGGTAATCTTAAAATATTTTTWAAAAAATGCATGCCCCCTCCCCTTAGAGCATGTACTGCTCAAAGCCATCGCCAGTTTTGAGAGTTTTGAGATTGGTCTTCTCGCTGGAGTTTAAGAGCAGCAGTAACTCTGTGCTCCAGTTTATTGAAGATATTCAAGAGTTCTTAGGCAGAGTGGAAGATGTTACTAAGAAGAGACAACCAGGAGAAGAAAGACTGCTGAAGGGAAAGAGGTAGAAAAATCAGTGTGGGGATTGTGGTGAGTGGAAGGACTTGATACAGAGGACCGAGGGGAGGAGCGGAAAAGAAAAAACGCTGAGCCCTGAGAATGAATGTCAAGCCAGCAGGTATGGGCGTGCTCAAGACCGGCCCTTGACCCGGGGAGGAGATGAAGCTTTACTAATATGGATACTGATTGACACTAGAACCTGTGTAAAAATGACTATACTTTTACMGAAGATATAGAACCCATTTTTAGAATTATGTATTTATTTTTACTTAAAGAGAGGGTGTGACCAAAATGTTTGGTGACCAGTGTTCTCAGGAACAGAGGACCTGTAGGTGCTGGCAGTTGGTAGGAAAGTGGCCCCTGATCTTCGGAGTAAGAGAGACAGTGCAGCGACTGGACCTCCACCTGCAGAGTTGATGGTGTGTCACGCTGTTGTTAATCAGGAAACGTGATGTATTTTGAAGGATCTGTATTGAGAAAGTGAGTTTATTGAGGCTGGCCAAACGCTATGTTGTTTTCTCGCTTATTTACATGGGAATAAATAATATTTCTAGAAGAAATGTGAAAAATGTAGTCAGAAGGGGTGAAAACTCCTGGGTGAGAAGTGTGGAGGACTTGGGCTAGAGGACACAGTGCCCATGCATGTGACAGGGAACCGCAGAGGGGCGCCACTTGTGTGGAAGAGCAGGTTGGTTTTCTATTCGTGGGGGAGATGGTAGCGATGAATGCGCTTCACTCAGAGGAAAAGGTGACTGAGCGCCTTGGAAGCAGCTCTTCAGAAGCCCATGCACAGCTCATGCCAGGAATGGGAGTAACAAAGAAAATGAGCTTAGAGAGTACTGTAGGAGCTTGGGGACCTGTCGCCACCAGGCATGCGTCCCCTCTCCTACTATACTCATCCTGCTGTGTGCATTCTGTCTCTGACCAGCATCTCACCCCCTCCCTGCCACGTGGCTTCTGCTCCTCTCCCTGTTAGGAGCCTCTGCTCACGAGTGCGTGCTGGGTCCTGTCTGTGGAATGTCGCACAGGGGCAGGGGGCGGTCAGCTCAGGTTTAAGTATCTTTAGGCCAAACTTCTGCAACTCAGTTGCCACAGGGTCCATCATTTCACACCCCGTCGGTGTGTTCTGCCTCCCTTCTCACTTCTGAATTTCTAAGCAGAGTGAGGTCCAGACTCGTGGGCACAGTTTACGGTGACCTGCATGGCCAGCGCCTGTGTGTTTCCCCTGCCTTACCTCATGGGCTGTGCTCTTTAGACCCTCTGAAATGTGCCTTTTGCTCACCCCATGTACCGCTTGCTTTTCTGTCCACGACCTCCCTAGTTATAGCCCCAGTGTCACTTCCCCACCAAGTGCCTTCCCTGGGCTTTCAGGAGAGATTCCCCCCCCCCCTTTGCACCTTCCTCCCTCTTTATTGTAGCTTAGAGCATTTTAGTGCTTTGTTATGCAGGGTTCCTAGAGCTTAGCCGGTGCCTGCCACTTCATAGGTGGCCAATGAATGTTTTTGAGTGAATTAACATAGTTCTCAGACATACTATGATTCTGAGTTTCTCAGTTCCCCGGACTTCTGAGCTTTGATATAACTTGAATCAAAATAATTTCTTATTAGAATGTTTAGTGTTTATCTAAACCATTAATTTTGATTTAGATAGCGAATTCAGTTTATTACTCATTGCTGTCTTTTTCTTTTTTAAAAATATTTACCTTCTTTTTAGTCATAGGTGGACACAATATCTTTATTTTACTTTTATGTGGTGCTGAGGATTGAACCCAGTGCCTCATGCATGCTAGGCRAGCGCTCTACCACTGAGCCACAGCCCCAGTCCCCTCTTTGCTCTCTTTATAAGCTCTTTGGTTTAGGAAAGTTGAGTGTACAACATTTAAAACATTAAGGAACACTAGATGCGGAAAAGGAACATCTGTGATGTTGTAACCTCCATGAGATTATCCCTGTCGGCACCTTGGTGTGTAAGCTTTTCCAGTTTTTTTTTTTTTTTTTTCCTAATGCATGTGTCTGAGGGTTTTTTTGGGCAAAGTTAGATGGATCAAACTCAGTGTTTATACCCTTTAGAAAGCTTTTTTCATAAAAATATCATGAACATAATCCCATGTTCTTTAATATCTTTCCTCACTGACTTTGGCAATGTTTTTAAAAAGACCTGCACTATGCTATGATATGGAAACATTTTATAAAAATAAACTCTTTTATTTTAGTTATCGATGGACATAATATCTTTATTTTTATGTGGTGCTGAGGATCGAACTCAGTACCTCACTCATGCTAGGCCACTGTGTCACAAACCCAGCATCTGGAAACATTTTTATATCATAATAGCATATGAAAAAAATCATAACTTGACTAATAATAGATGCCAAACTTTTAAAACATGTATCTCTTCCTCTCATCACCCCCTTTCTCTGTGTGTGTGGGCACATGCATGCTCTGCACAAGGTCAGATAAATACCCAGCATTATTTTCTTTCAGTGTTTTTTTTTTTTTTAAATTATGCATTAGTACTTAAATGTATTTGRGATTCATATTTGGAATTTTGAAATTTTATGAGTTGTGAGAATCACATTCATCTCTCCCAAACAACCAGTTGCCCAGCATCCCTAATGAGTTCCCTGTTCTGAAGTTTTACCTGTCCTCACATAAAATAATTCTGTATATTTTTAATTTTTCTAGATTAATAGTTATTTTTGTAGGGGTTAGATCCACCCCAGGGCCTCTCACCTGCTAGGCAAGCACTCTGCTCCTGAATCGTAGCCTCAGTCATTTTCTTTGTTATTTGTCATTCTTGTGCCAGAGCCACATTGTTTTATGGGTTGTGACTGTAATTAAAAAAAAAAACAGCAATGTAAATATGGCCTCATCATTTTTCAACCTTTTCTTGATGGCTGATGCCCATCTGGTGGTGAGTTAGCCCTGGCCTGTGTGCCTGAGCAGCCTGGGCCTGAGGTTCTGAGCCTGTGCTCCTCTTAGGGAGAGCAGGAAGGAAGCAGGACCTCTTTCACGGATTTGTGTAAGGCAGAATGAGATAATATTCGGAAGTGTAAGGCACGTACTGAGTGCTCAGGAAGCGATAGCTCACTGTCATTATGTGGAGATTACTATAATTTTGTCATGATTCAAAAATTGTCCATTTGGGGTGAATCTGAAATATTAACAAATGTATGTTTCTATTTAGAAAAAGAACTTTTTTTCTTTTGTATGTTCTTCAGTAAAGATCTGTGCTTTTTCTCACACATTGTTTATTATTGTATTTGTGCATTTGACATAGCAAATAATAATTTTACAAGTATTTTATAACTAGAATTCTGTTACTTTTATTGGCAAGTGCAACTCAGAATAAGCCTCTAAGCCTCAGCTTTCTGCCCATAAAATTCATGTCCTCTTCCTTTCTGCGTTGTGGTTGATAGGAAAGGAGATAGTGTTTTTGATAGAGTATTTAAAAATATATAAAAATGAAATAAAATAGAAAAATAAGTAGGATCCGGGTTCTGTTTCCAATGAGATCTGTGCAGTTTGGGTAATAGATTCTGCACTGTATTTGCTGTGGTCCTGGGGAGAAGGGTTTCTTTTGGAGCAGTGGCATGGGACAGACGGTGGAAGGCTCAGGTAGGATTGGTGGTTTCTGGAAGATCTCTGATGAGAGGGCAGCAAGATCTGGGCCGCAGTGTACCCATCGCGGGTGAACGTCAGGATCAGCGACTTCCAGCACATCACGGAAGGTAGCTCTTGGGCGGGGCAGGCTTGAGGCCTTGGCTGAGTTCACGGGTGAGTGAGTCCCAAAGAGTTTTGTTAACCAGGTCACATTGGCAGCAGGTGCTGGGAGGTATCTGTAGTCCATCATGAGGAGGGAAAAGGAAGGAATCCTGCTCAGGACACCCAGACCTCATTTGGTGTTAGTGATGCGATAGCTGCTGCTTAGCATTTTAAAAAATCAAGCTGTTCCCATAAAGTGTTCTCTTTTGTGAATGACAATGACGAATTCTGAATCTGGCCGTGGAATAAGTATGGTCAGTTGTCTTCTGTGGCTGTCACACCTAAGGACTGTTCTCACTTTCCCTTCTGGACAGGTCCAAGACCGCTTTGCGTCGCAGCTGGAGCAGTACCAGCACAGCAGGTGGCCTTGAGGGGAGTGTGAAGCTGCACCGGGGCTCTCAGGTCCTGCTCACGAGCTCTAATGAGATGGGTACCGTTAGGTACGTGGGCCCCACGGACTTTGCTTCAGGGATCTGGCTTGGACTGGAGCTCCGAAGCGCCAAGGGGAAGAACGATGGCGCCGTGGGTGACAAGCGCTATTTCACCTGTAAGCCGAACCATGGAGTCTTAGTTAGACCGGGAAGAGTGACCTATCGGGGAATCAATGGGTCCAAACTTGTGGATGAGAATTGTTAAGCTTCTAAAGTATGAGTCGAGCTCAGAAGTGTGTGTGCACAGTGCACACGCACACCGTGTAAAATAAGAACCCATGGCATATGGTTTTACTTTCTTTAGCCATTGTCTAACATGTGGAAATGCAGCGTATAGTCATCTTCGTACAAACCCTTACAACAATGAGTGACYCCTTAAAAGGCCACAAGCACATGAGCTCTAGATATCATGGTTCTCTTAAAAGGTTTCCAAATAAGCACTTTTAAAAGCTTTAAAAGCTTTAGGTCCCAAGAAAAATTCCAGGACTCAAAAAAGGAAGAAAGGAAAGAATGTGCCACCAGGTGATAAATGGATGTGTTGCATTGCTTGTTGTGTTTCATTTTTGCACATGATGTTGGATTTGTCACGATGGTGAAGGTTTTCACTAGCTTTGGTTAACACAGTGTTCACATGACCTTTTTCTGTCACATGTTTTCTGAGTTTTTCTTTCTGTCTGAGTTTTATTCCTAATAATTACCTTAAGGTAATAGCAACTAGGTGTATTTTTGATATTTCTGRTAAAATCACACGCCCCTTCAGGAATGGCTCACATCAAGGTGTGTTAGAATGTGAGAGGTGGATGAACCCTGGGCAGTCTGGCTTGGGCTCTGGCCCCTTTGCTGAATACAGAAATGGAATCTGTCCTACCCAGGGCCACCAACTAGTTGGTTGGCAAACAACCATGAGTCTCCTGACTTGTGGTTCAGTGCTTTTCCCTCTATGCAAAGTAGGTAACCTCCGAGTTTTCTTCTGCTGCTTGCCTGTCTAATCTGTATGAACTACAGAAAACCCACAATTAAGGTTTATGAATTCAAATCAGAATGTTTTGCACATACTTGTTTAACTTCTTCGCTAGATGTATCTATCTCACACACGTTCACTTGTGCACACATGCMCGCACACTCAAAGCACTTTTAAAACATGATGCACTTTCATCTTTGTAGATTCTCTGACATCCTTTCCTCCTGGAATATGAAAAACATTTAAAAAATGTATTCAACAGAAGAGAGCAAATTAAGTTATGTCAGGAAGGGCGTATTACTTGTTCATTTAAATGTGTGTGATTCCCGGGCTGCTTTGTTCTGTCACTGGTCAGCCTGGTGTTGTTGGCTGCAGTGGCTGTTCTTCGCCCCCAGAGGTTGCAGGGGTCAGCCTCTTACAGAGCSACAGACGGCACTGTGTACCATGTTCCTCCTTGAGTATATGTTACAAACTAAGCTTTGCTAGAGTGATGTAATAATGTCCAAAGTCTGTCTTGTGTATATGTATTGAAGTTTCTGTTCTATGTGCGTAAAGATTTATTGTAAATATTTAGACTTCAAACTACCACAGAAATATTGGAACAATTTATAAGATTAAAAGTATCCTTCAGAATGGAGCTTGCTTTGTGCTTAGAAATAAAATATGCTGAACTATTTTGCAATATACTATTTTAAAATCTAAATTCTGTTACTTTGTTGCCTTTTTTAAAAGTGTGGTATGTCAATAAATACTGCTAGACTTATTTTCCTGAAATACATTTGCAAAATAAGGCTGCTTTATAACCAAGGATTATTTTTATTGATTGAAGAAAATAAGTGTGCTGTGATTTAAAAGTAGATTTATTTTATTATATAGATTATTTCTTAAAAACTATTTATACCTGAACATGAAATCCATGACTATACTGAACTTGAAATTTATAATTCTGTTAAATATAAAACTCTCCGAGTTAAAAACAGTAATGCCACCACTGAATTTATTTTTGATGTCAAAGAACCAATTCTCATCCTGTTCAGATCAAGATTTTTAAATCCATTTAACATGTATGTTTACATATACTATACATACAAATTAGGTGTTTCCGTTGTGTTTTGCTTATTAAATGTCATTCAAAGTTCACTTCTGGAGCATTAATAAAAAGGGAAGCTGCTTGGTTTTGGAATGGTATCTTGTCATTTACCCTGTTTGCAATTCTTCTCTTAGTAACTGAGGGCACCTGTGCCCTGAGCTTTTCTCCCCCCATAGTGATGGCTGTCCTGTCCCTATAAACAATCTTAAAAAGTACCATGCTTGTCGTTCAACAAGGAAAACTGTTTTTTAGCTACCCTCCTGTTAGTATTATTTTGAAGAACAGAGTGATTTCAAGATGTTTTTCTATAGTTTTTTTTAAGATCACTTAACTTTGCTGGGATTCATYTAGAACATGAGAGAACACTTTGAATTGAGGCAAAAAGCAATCACCTTTCTACTGAAAAGCTTTGTTTTTGCTTTTTAGGGTAAGTCGGGGGAATAATTTTAAGTGCTTAAAAATGTTCGGGTAGCTGCTGAATGTGGACTGAGACCTTGTAGTCTTGGGAYGAATCCCCTCCACCCTCCTCCCTTTCACAAATCATTTTCTCCTCAGCATCCACCACCCTTGGCCATGCCTAACTTTTTGTTTATTATTCCTCTCATTGAGTCCCTAAATTGAGGGGTAGGGTAGATTTGAACCTGCTTTGTCCATTGCTTTATCTCCACACCTAGAGTAATGGCATCTGGTAGACGCTCAGCCAACATCCGCAGAGGGAGCAGAGACTGGGAAGGCCGTTGGTTGCTTAATGTCCAGGTGCCACACAGCTAGCTTGCAGTAGAGAGGTGACAGGTCCGAGATTAAAAGCTGTTGAGGGGCAGGAAGAGGGAGGGGGGAACCCAGGAGGGTCATGGAGGCGGCTCCCTGTCTGTTTTGCTGGGGGCTGTCTTTGAACTTCTGTTTTGATGTAATAATTTAGAGAACATCTCTAATATATGCAGAGAACTGGATCCTATGCCAGTGTGCACAACGTGGGTCTCCAGCGCTGAATATTTTCATTTTGAGGCTACCTGTTTAGAATGCGTGATCATATGCTTTCTGACTGAGCAATGTGTTAGGAATCATTCTTAATTGAAAAACACAGATAGAAATTTTAACTGTCTACCAGTTATCTGTTGTCTAAATGATTGGCCCAGGGGCATATATRTCACCACATTGTAAGCCAAGGGGAGAATTCATTTAAAAATTTTTCTTCATGTTCTTTGCTTCACTGCATTTGTTTATAATATGAGGACAGTAGTTAATACAAAACTCACATTATCACATATATTTTAAATATTGTTTATTAACATCCCTTGGTACATTGGCTCTTATTTACAGTGTCACATAAGCTTTGTGAATACATAAACAAACATTCTTAATGAAGCTTTTGAATAGACTGATCAGGTTCAACTTTAGAATTCTTGGATTTTAGAACAGTGGAACATGATGCTTTTGCATAGGCAAAATATTTTTCACTCAAACTTTCTGCAAATTCTCCTTTTACAGGAGGGACGTTCTTATGGTAGAATTAGAGGAGATGGGCACATGTCACTGACATCAATATAGGTTCACTCTGCTTGATGAAAATGAGACTTTTTCTCTTTTATAGCTCTCCCTTGAGGAGAGTAGGATCAAGGTCTGGGGGAGACTTTTCCCCTCTTACCTTTTCAAAAAGTCTAATGAATAGAGTTTTCATGGCCAGTCAATAGCGAGTCCTCTCATTTACTGCACCTTTCAAATAAGGAAATATGGTCACAGTGATACTGAGGAGGGACAGAGTTTTGAATCATGTAAAGATATTCTAAGTGTTTTAATTGAGGGGCCTGTAGCTTCATATAAACCCGTCCTGAGTGATTACCAGTGTCATTTACAAGATGCTAAGTCTGGTTGAAGTGCAGCTCCACCATTCACAGTGCACCCAGATCTGGGTCTGTTGCAGAGTAAATAGTCACACCATGTTCTCCAACAGGCCCCTTTGGTCTCAGGACTGGGCTTTTTCTCAGAGTTGTTTCAGTTGGCTAAATAAAATGAAACGGGAGTCTCAGAAGTGTAGGAGGTTTAAATAGCCAAGCKAAACGCCATCCTGGACCCACATCAGTCTTGCGGAGGTTCAGTTCTTTCAGTTACAGCCAACTCGGGTTCTTCGTGGCTTGGTGATGGCTGTCCTGTCCCTATCAACAATCTTAAAAAGTACCATGCTGTTATTCAACAAAGAAAACTGTTTTTTAGCTACCCTCCTGTTGCTCAAAGTAGGTTCACCTCATTGAAGACTGAAGGAGCGATTGTTTTTCACAGAGCAGATCAAATCACACTGACATGGAATTGAATTGCGCTGAAAGGATGCCTAGAGCTTCCAGCTATTCCTTTTACTCTTTCTCAGACTCATCTYAAAACGCAGTCGACAGTGTTAATGACATTGGCTGCCCCCGATAGTTCTTGTTAAGGATGGGGTGTCACCCTCTGATACCTTGGGGGAAGTATCTCCAAATGGATTTTTAAATGAATTTTAATAGTCACAACGAGGCTCGTATCGATGGCAGGGGAAATGGCTTTTGTTTATTATAGACAATATCACAGAGCAGAAGAGCATGGGCACCCTTTATGAACTTGCTAATAAAGATGGATTTTTAATGAGCATTCCAGTGGGTTATCCATATCAGTTAAAAAGATCACAATTTCCCCAAAGTGATCTTCTCTGTTTCTTGAAGAAAATAAGAGCTTAGGGAATTAAGAAATGGCCCAAGATTCTTGCAGCCTCACTTCACACTCCCTGGTGTGTGACAGWGGAAAATCCAGTGTGAGGCTCTGCTTCAGTTTCTCGTCTTTTTAAAAACAGAACCAGCTGCTTGTTGGTACATACACAAGAAAAAAGAATTTCTGTCTTTGAAATTATTTCTTTTGAGAACTGTGAAATACTACATAAATGTTACTTTGAGAGTAATGCAGAAAGATTTAAATTGTTTTTTTTYCCCTCAACTATTAGGAGCAGTAAAACGTAGGAAACTTGCCTACAGCCTTTAAGGCCTTATCTTTGTGGGATGTTKGAATTGGCTTTGTTTTTTAGATTTCACATTTCAGGATCCATTATAAAGCTGTCTTATTCACAGTAGGTTTCCAGACACTGCCTTCCAACAGTGGTGGAGAGCTAGATAAACCTGAAAGGAGGGATTCTCTTCCAAGGTAATTGGGAGAGAGGACTCCTCAGTGAATTCCCCATCATAACAGCACCTGGACGAACATGTGGAGGGACGCCCCAGTCCAGACACCTCCTGGTCCCAAACACCTGGCTTATTCTGGGCTTTGCTACCTTGCTTTGGGAATGGGCACTGAAAGGTGAAAATCGCCTGCGGACAGAGGGCGTGGGTGTCTCATTAGAGAGATTCTCTGTGGTGAAAGGTAAGCTTTAAAAATGAGTTTATTATTTTACTT